AGCTGGACTTGAGCTAATGAAGGAGGTCAAGGAAGGTGAGCCTAACAACATCCACTTCACCGCACTGGCTGCAGACGCTATTGCCACAGAGCTGCTTCAAAAGCCTACATAGATCGCGACAGTTATGTTTGGCTAGAACCGCTTCGAAGTATCATTGTTTTAATTCCTGTGTTTAGACATTTAACACATTCTTCGTAGCTGCTTTAGTAGTGGTGGCTAAAATATATCTGCCCTTAGGCAGATCGTTTCAACAGAGCAGCATATGTCAAAGCAATATATGACGTAGTCCGTAAGATAGTCACATTGAGGCGACAGATCCTCGTCATTGAAAACCGAAAAATCAGTTAAAGTTAACATCGTCTGGAGCCTCGTGATTTTTCAAGGAGCAATTTCGCCGTTTGATAATCTTGCAAGAATGTCAACCCAACGTTAAAATATTAGACCCAGTGTATATGACTGGACACAGTTTTAAAATACTATGGTGTATACAAAAAAGTAAAGTCGCTTCAGGTACGTTCGGGACCATAAGATGTGCGCACCAACCTTCCCCTTTGGATAACAGAACTGAACTACCAATCAGGGTAGCTGATCTAGCTGTAGTAAAACGCGAACATTTCTGAGTTAGCCAAGAAATATCTACTTGTTTCCGTCTCAGCAGTTGTTTCTGTAACACGAGTTTGCCTGTAAGCGTTGACTTCTGATTTTCGGAGCTGGCAAGCAACGAATTCAGTACAGTCGGAATCGCAAGAGTCAGTCATAAAAATGGCGACGGAAAAAACTGGCAATGTAATGAACAGCTCTAAGGAACTATTGCAAATGTTGCTACGGCAACCGCATGCATAAAAGTAGGCGTAAATGAACCCCTGCTTAGCATCCCCCTCCAATCACGATCTCACTCGTTAGGCATAATATGACTCTCTTTTACGGCAGCCAGTTGTTAGATCTCCGGAACGATGTCCATCCGTTACTGGGGACTCAGCGGGCGTGCTACTGTTTGCTCTTTCTTTTCTTGTCTTTTCTACTGCGGCACAATAGCTGAGGTGTTTGCCACCTCCAGCTAACGTGTAATGATGAGGATGATGTTGGCATTAGCGACTCAATCTTCAGAAAAAGCTTCGTGGGACACGCAAGTAAGTTCCGTTGATCCCCTCTCTAATTCCATTGCGGAATACAATAATGATCCTAGTTCCAAAAGCACTATGGATACGTGGTTTAGTTGGTGGGACGATAGCTTCAGAGCGGATTCCAGCCGTCAGGACGACTCCTGCAAAGTGCCACTGTTGCTCCGTAAACTAGGCATAAATGAAGATTCAAGGTTCGTTGATAACATATGTCAAAGATCAGCCTTGCCGAAGCGGTGTCACAATTCAACGAGATTTTCGGTGAATCGTTACCACTATGCAGCATTCGCTACCAGTATCTGAAAATCGTCAAGCGGGACACATACGAATATGGGGCGTTGGCATACATGGTCAACCGTGAGTGTGAACGTTTCAAGCTGTGCTCTTTGACAGATGATTAATTCAAGTGTCGCATAGTTATTGGTGCCTTACAGTCCCCGCATGATCCGAGATACACACAAGACCTACAAGCTGAATCAAGACCCAGAAACAATACTGGTCCCCCACTGCCTAATGCAAAAGATTAATGACTCTGAAACATGACACCGCCATGGTCGAAAATTCTTCCGTACAACCACGAAATGTCCATACCGCAACAGGTTCCAAGCAAAACAGGTCTCGGAATTCCGCTCAAAAGTCACAGAACAGACTGCCTACTGCCTGTTAGTCATGTGGTGAGTGGCATTTTGCTCGATTCTGCCCATACAAGAAGCAAATTTGTCAAAGGTGCCATAAAGGGGATCACAAATATGAACTTCGAAAAATATCTCGACCAATGAACATAATACCGTTCCGTTCAAAGAAGATGGTGAAAAACAGTTGCCGACTCCATGTCAGTCGTTGCCGCTTTCCAGAATGAGTTCAAACTCCACAGACGTTTCAATAACGTAGTTATCAACCGGGTTCTCTACAGGTTACAAATTGACACGGTCCCTGATATAACGATCATTTCCAAGAGCACATGGAACCACATCAAAATGCCGGAGGTTTCCGCTTCTGACAAAGTGACTCACAACGCATCAGACAGAGTGCTGAATATGTTTGAAGAAACCACTTGCCAAATCGCTTTTAATGGGGTGTAAAACACTAGAAATCGCTATCTGATGGGTCGATTGAAAGTAAACATTTTCGGTATCGAGTGAATAAAAGGGCTAGGAATCTTTGTTGGTCCCTTAAACCAGATCTGTAATCGATGCAGAGCAAATCCAAAACCAACGATATCAGCCGAAGATATAACATGATTGCTGAAGGGAAAGTTCGGCTTTGTGTCTCAAGATGGTCTCGGTTATTGCATAAATTCAAGACAACGCTGTGCCTGCGCCCAGGAGCCAAGCGAGCCTTCAAGGTTAAAAGATCAGTACCATATGCAGCCATACCAACAGTCGATCAAGAACTCGATCGACTAGAATGAGCAGGCGTCATCAAACCTGTGAACTACTCTTCAAGAGCAGCACCCTTCGTCGCAACGAAGAAAGCGAATGGCAAGGCGCGCGTCTGTGCTGATTTCTTAACTGAAATGAACGCTGCGCTCGACGACCACCAGTACCAATACCGGAAGACATCTTCGCAAAATTGAATGGTGACAGGCGTTTTGTCAAGCTTGACCTGTCCCACGCCTACCTCCAGGTGGATGTTGTCGAAGAACCGAGAGAGCTGCAGAAGATCAACACTCCTCGTGGGCTGTTCCAGTACAACAGCTTGTCTTTTGGTGTGAAAACAGCACTAGCCATGTTCTAGCAATTAATGGATACCCGGCTCGCAGGAGTTTCCGGAGCCACCGTACACCACCGTGACATCGTAATAGGCCGAATTGCGGAGGAGCTATCTAACCGGTTGGTCAAAGTGTTTGACCGTATCCAGGCGTTTTTTACACGTTAGCTAGAGGTGGAAAACACCTCAGCTACTGTGTTGCAATGCATAAAATACATGCAATAGATTCACGCTAGATGAGCTACCAGTAAGGGATGGGCATCGTTCCGGAAAGCTACCAGTCGGCTACTACGTAAGGAAAAAATTTATTGTGTTTCGCTAAGAAATGATATCGTGATGGGAGGTGAATCTAAAGGAGGGAGATGGACACAAAAGCTCACAGCACAAACGCAAATGAGATCGACTCCTAGCCAAATCAAAAAGTGTATCCAGTCGAACGTGTTCATCGTCTTTCGGACCCCGATCAGGGAGCCGAGACGCTCCAACCGAGACCAGGTTCGAAGTGAGGACCTTCATTTCTCTCGACCAAGCCACCGATTGGTCACCCCTCTCCTCTTCCACCATCTACACCCCCAGTGCACAAACAACGCACGTCGCGAGAGCCGGAGGGCTCGCATGCGTAACAAGTGACCGAGCCATCAAAGTCTGGTGCAGTCGGAATCGCACACCGAGAAGCAGAGCATAACAAAGGCATGTCGCCTCGCCAAGTGCCACACATTTCTAAAAAGGAACAGTCGTTTGACCAGAGGAACTGTTCAGAGTAATCCGACTGAGCCAGGGCTGATCCATCTGTTTTCTCATAATCAACTTGTGATCCCAATGTTAAACTATCCTGCCTTCTCTGACTCTGAAGTGGGAGACTTATCAAGTAGTCAACTAATGATCTTAGCGCACGGGGACAACGTAGTCCTCGCTGGAGTTGGATCTGCAGGCGATGCAGAATAGACGGCCGCAATGCATTGCATAACTTGACATGTGGAAAGAACTTTCATGGGCCGAAGTACAATAACGTCACCATATTACATTAGGGTCAAAGAATCAATTGTAATTGGGTTAGGCAAGCAGCCACACTACCCCTGATTACCACTAACTAAGTGCCCTCACTTCGGAGCTGGCCTCAGTTAGAGCGTCACGGCTACCTGGTTGGGGTCCAAAAGACAGTGAACACGTTTGGCTGGATACACTTGCTGACATGGCAAGGAGCCGACCTCAGTGGCGTTGCTGCTGTGAGTTTCTTTGTCCCTCCCCATCCCTTTTAGCCTCCCCCTCCACCTACGATCTCATTTCGTAGCGTAAAGTATAATACTTTTTCTTTTTGCCTAGTAGCCGGCTGGTAGCTTACCGGAACGATGCCTATCCGTTGCTGGTACCTCAGCTGGCATGCAACTGTTGTATTTATTTTCTTTTTCCTTTATATATTGCGGCACAGTAGCTGAGGTGTTTCCCAATTCTAACTTGACGTGTATAATGATGATGATGACTACCTGTGACTCGTGAAATATAGAAACAGGCCATGATTCCGTTGTTCGGTGTCCCAGCACAGCGAAGCAAAAACAATCTGCAAAAACTGCCAGCCATTTACCACAGGAGCCTGCGGAACCAACCGGCCTGTAGCCTTTAGGACCATACAAGCCTGCCTAGTAATCTGAGGGCGCGGGGATCGGGCGACCCTCGCATAATCCTTAGCCCAAGTGCAACTGGTGGGCATTGCGCAGCAGCGAAGCGTCGGTACTACTGGTGCCGTCTTTTGCGGAACGTAGTAACGCCTAGTAAAACCAAACCGTCTTCCATTGATTAGGTTATGTCCCATCAGCCAAGTATTCTTAAAAAGTTATCTGGCATCACTACCAACGCAATCCGGAGGGATGGTTGGCGCTGGCGCTTGAAAGCTAATTTTCCCGGACGGAATTCACTAGAACTTATTCGAGTTGCCCTATTTGCATTCTAAGATAATAATACAGGGGTTACGTGATTGACGAAGTTGCCGAACGTCTCTGACGGGGGAAATAATGTTCGGCTATAAGAATGTGCAGTGTGAGCGGTTGTTCTTTCCCATCAAAATCCAATTCGTTCATCGTGCAGCGGCTCCTCACATATCATATAAAAGTCCACAGATTCGCAACCATATTGCCCTAAGTGAACGGTATGAAGTGGTTAGGAGAAAAAATATCAGTTTTGATTCTAAAGTTATTCCGTCTGAGAATAAATCCAGGTAACACATGATCACCGGGGGACTGATACAGAAAGGTTGACATTTCTCTAGGCTACTTACATCACCAATGGCAAACAACCATAGGTCGAGATATACACAAAAGCACGGGAGAAAAAGTAGAGTCGTTCAGTCGATATCCGGTAGATCACATGATCCGTCTTTCCAACCGTGTCTCCATCGCTGCATGACCAGGGAACAGTCGAAAAGTGGCTTGTTCAACTTTTTGTTGACGAGATTGTGTTGCGTGCAAAGCCACCCATTGAAAGTTGCTCGACTCTCCAACTTTGGAGGGTGTTGAATCATGTCTGGAAAGTGTGGGGGGACGGGGCGGGGGGGAAAAAGATATCATGCATGAATACACCATCAGAGCGTTAAAATCCAGTTGCGCAACCGTAGTAGTTTATTTAACTAACTCATCATCATCAGTATACACGTTAGCTAGAGGTGGGAAACATCTTAACTACTGTGCCGCAATACATAGAAGAAAAAAGGGGAAAAAAGCAACTGGTGCAAGCTGGCTGAGCTACCGGTAACGGATAGGCATCGTTCCGGTAAGTTAATAGCCCGCTACTATGCAGCAAAGAAAAGTTACTATGAAAAAGTATGTAAAGCTAAATATTGAGATCGTGGTTGGAGTGGGAGGCTAAGAGGGATGGGGTGGGACAAAGAAACTCACAGCACAAACGCCACTGAGGTCGGCTCCTAGCCATATCAGCAAGTGTGTCTAACCAAAGGTGTTTATCGTCTTTCGGACCCCAACCAGGGAGCCATGAAGCTCCAACCGAGGCCAGCTCAGAAGTGAGAGCTTTTATTCCTCTCGACCAAGTCATCGATTGGCCAGCCCCCCTCTTCTTCCATCCACCTCCCCGGCGAGCAAACAACGCACGTCGCGGGAGTCACTGGGTTGGCATGCGTAACACGTGGCCGAGCCATCGGAGCCTGGTGCGTAAAATAACGGTGCTGAGCGGTTTATCTCCTTTTCCTGTGCCCTAAACAAGGCGTCGAACACGCTCGTTACTCATACGGTGTTCCCACCAGATGTGAGCTAAATTGCGAAGGCCATCACAATGAGGCTGGACCTTACCGTGGTACGATGGTTTGTGTGCCTCAGCGATCCATTGAGCTATGCTGAGTGGTGCACTTTTGCACTTTCAGGCCAGACAAACTCAGTCTCGTGGTCCCGGGTTGGAATGAGGGTGGCACCTTGTTCCTTAAAACGGGCTCCTTGTAGCCCAACGCCAAACCCGCTACCTTGCGGTCCGGTTTTTGAACCAAAGGCTTTGGTTGATAATCCTAATCGTTCTCCTGTCTAGGCGTGGGCAACCTGACAGTATCCTGCTCACGCAGTACAATCCATCTTTAAACAAATTTAGCAAACTAGGAATAGATAAACGTCTTCTGACTAACGCGTTCTTTCCGGTGCATGACTTCGAACGTTAGAGGGGTAAGCTTGAGGAGCGCTGAAGTGTTACCCAGAATAGATTTGTCGAGAAAATTAGTGGCCGCGTCAGCAACCGTAGTAAATATGTCAAAAAGAACTAGAATTTGGGATTCGAAGCAGATAGTCTGACCAACTCCATAAATTGGAGAGCGAGTAATTCAGTCTGGATGGTTACCCGACAAATTGTATCGGAGATGCATGTGGAACCCATTGCCGTCTCCAAGCTGATGTTGAGATAAAAAAGCATGTGCCTGGTATGCCATGCCGTCTATTTGCTTTGACAAAAGGATGGTTCTCATTATTAATAATAGCATATCCGCAATTTGAACGGATACTTCGCTTTCGTATGACCACAACGTGATAGGGAGAATGGGGACCTAGAGTAAAGCTTAAATGCTCTAAGAAGGCATTTAGGGTCAAGGTGCAGGCTGTTGTGTGAAAACAAGCTCGCATCGGCTATGAATATTTCTTGCAACATACACTACCCCGTGCTCATTTAAGCTTGCAGACAACGTAACGCAAGTGTAATCCCAGCAACATCCCGGTAACTCTCCCGCCAAACACAGGGTCGTGTGGACATCCGCCTTAGAAATAAAACGCACGGACTGCAATCGTTTTCATTTCCAACTGCAAAGTCCACTTTTGCCGCTTCTTCCTGTCGAGCCTTGTACCATCCATCGTTCAGCATGCAAGACTCCTCGGTAAGCGGTGATCCGTTACACTTTGCGCACTCCAAAACCAAGGCAACTCAAGAGAACTAACCTGACTATCATTGTCTAACACTAACCTGTTCACATCATCCTTGCGGACACTGGTGCCAGGAATACTTCGTAGGCAGTGATGATCAAAAATTTGGAGGTGCTTCAGGCCGAACGGGTTAAGTCTCATGTTCGTAGAAAAAGATGGTACTCGCTGTGATCGTCTAATAGGATAAGCGTTGCGCTGCAGTAAAGTCGAGTTGATCATACCTAGCAACTCAGTTACAGACTGTCAAAAGTCAATGTGGGCAAATTGGGATAGGTTTCACCATTTAAATAACCATCGAAGCATTACTTTCATGTTAAAGTGAGAGCAAATAAGCTGTGAGTACCGAGGGAAACTGGGTAATTCAACAAGCACGCCGCCAACTACAACATTCACTGGATAAGGACATTAAATCAGCTCACTTTTTCTTAGGTCGTGGGCGCATAGCGTGCATGGGTAAAATAATGCGAATCCCCTCAAGAAGCCGGCCATTGCCTCTTGTTCTTGCGGTGTCGCTGACTCCGGATAGTAGGCAGCCATGGTATGAAGTAGGCTCCAGGATGCGCGACCGAGTTCGGGTTTGTCAAGCGGACAGCCTTGAAAGATGAAAGATTTTATTCACATTGAAAAGGGAGGAAATTTTGAATAGTATAGAATTGAGAGGTGAAGAATACCAATGATTACGGTATTACTAATGAGTAGGAGGATTTTAATAAATATTTTTTACTAATTTGTCCCAGCTTCAACTCTAACATCCTCTAACCGCGATAGGGCAAAAATACCATCTGATGCACTTCCGGAATGGTTAGATTATCTAGCTCAGCAGCTAGGAGGAACTAGTAAAAATGATTAGAGTATTATTAATTCATCAATGTCAGAAAATCCCGATCCACCGAACAAGCATTCGTAGCTGAAACATCCCTTTTATCCATCCCTGTGACCGTAAAACTTTCAAATACGAGTCCTTTAAAGCGAAGCAAATATGTTCGGGTAGAGACACTACATGTATATAAGGTATCCGGAGTCGAATCAACCACGCATTGTTGGTAACAGGGAAAGGTATTCTAACCACCATAGAGTACCACTCTCCGATCAAAAGTGCCCACCTTGCGCAGCACTTGAAATGTGAATGTGATGCATCTATAAATCTACCAACGACTTCGACTGCAATCAGTTCAGGCAAACTAGTTTAGAGATTGTCGTTTCGAATGCAACCGATGACAGCTGTAAATAAAAGATAAGAGTGCATAGCTTTCCAAAGTTGCGAACAACTGCACAACTTATCCCTAGGTGCACCGGTACAACCTCAGTCTCCGGTATCTCCCAACATGAGATAGGCACGCATTGTGTGTCCCTTGGGTTAGACTCGTGTTGAACCAAAGACATAAATAGTGAAGACAAGAACCTGAGGATAAGCCAAGCGAAAACTTGCGCAATGAGTGCATCGCTACAAAGCTGGAGACAATCTGGTCGAAGACATTTGTTGCCATGCTCAAGAGCCCATCTCAGTGGTAGGTAGGTATCAGCAGTACGCCGGTACGCAGTAACGATGCTTCGCTGCCAAGCAACCACCACTAGTCGCACGTGCGCAAGGGATACTGCGAGGGTAACCCGGTCCATAAGCATGCCCGAACCCGTACCCTCAAATTACATGGTAGGTTTATGATCCGTAAAGCTAGGGGGCCTTAATGCTGTGAATCCATCTGTCCTTCCTCATCCAATAAAAACCGCAATCTTAGTACATATTATAAAATCAAGCATGAGATCCTGTTTTTTATATTTAGGTTTTACTGTCCTATCATCGAAATATTTTGCGGCACAGTAATGTGATTCTCACGTTTAGCCAACGCGTAGAGTGCTGATGAAACCGCAGAAAGGAATACAGATGGCAGTTCGTTTTAACTGAGATCTGAAAACAAAGTCATGCCATCTAACACTGTACGACCATCGCGAAGACACTGGACCTTAATGTGGTGTGAGAGTTCATGTACCTCGGTTATCTAGTGAACTATCCTGGGTGGCATTTTCAGGTGCCTTCAGATCCACTCATCCCAGACAGTTCAATGGTTAGGAGTCAGACTAACTTAGTCTCACAATCCAATTCGAGCGTTAAGGAGAGGTCGATGGCCCTAATCTCTCGAAACCTAGTCATGAGAGACAATGGGTTTACGGATTCTAAGCTGACAGCTTTATTGGCATAGAGCCCGAGCATCACACATGATCTCTGGCAGTGAGGCGGTTCTTGCATCCGGCTTCTTGATTCTAACTCATTCCATCCCATTAAATTCAATGCACTTCCCTCTTGATTTTTAAGGTTCGTTGCACTCTATGTACATTCAACCTCATTCTCGAAACCGTTTTAATTTACTGCTAGTCGGGCAATGAGTCGTGACACAGATAGATGTACCGCACTTCGGTGTCCGGAGGAGCATAGCTACTCATCTGAATCGAACTGAACTGAACAGTGGATGAGGTCAGGCTTTGATAGTTAAATAAAGACGATTCGCCTTTAATCAGACACAGCGATTTATCGATTTACTGGAGACTTCAGTTGAGAAAATAATCCCAGAGAATACATCAAAAGTAAGGTGTGTAGCAAACGAGCTAGTTTTCAGTGGCTCATCTTCAGGGGGTTACAGCGCGATGAGAGGGTTGAAGAAAACTCATCATTATCATTATACACGTTAGCTGCAGGTGGAAAACACCTCAGCTATTGTGCTGCAATACAAAAGGCAAGAAAAGAAAAACAAACAGTGGCACGCCCGCTGAGTCCCCAGTAACGGCTGCACATCGCTCCGGAGAGCTAACAGCTGGATATCACGCCGTAGAAGGAGTTATATTATGCCTAACGAGTGGGATCGTGATTGGAGGGGATGCTAAGCAGGAGGGGGATGGACAATGGAACTCACAACACAAACGCCAATGGGACCGGCTCCAAGCCATATCAGCAAGTGTGTCCAACCAAACGTGTTCACCGTCCTTAGGACCCCAGCCAGGCAGTCGGGATGCACCAACCGACGCCAACTTCGAAGTGAGGATTTTCATCTCTCTCGAACAAGTCAACACTTGGCCTCCCCTCCTCCTCTTCCAACCGCACCCACAACGCGCAAACAATGCACGTCGCTGAAGTCGGAGTGCTGGCATGCGCAACACGTGGCCCAACCATCGGAGCCTGGCGCGTGCTATACTGGTGCTGAGCGGTTCACTCGCTCTTCCTGTACCAAATACGCGACGCCGAGCACGCTCATTGCTCACGCGGTGCTCCCATCAGACATGAGCTAAGCAGCGAAGGCAGCGATGATTGAATATCACGAGTCTCTTTATGTCTGTTGACCTGATGAGCCAGGTTTCACATCCATATAGGAGAGTTGAACGGACGGCTGCGTTATAAACTCCGCCCTTCAGGGCGAGTAATGTCGCGTCTGAGCCACATGTGGCGGAGATTGGCAAAAGCACTTCGAGCTTTTGCAGCACCTCGAACTTTTGCAAAGAAAACACTAATCAAATGAGAAGAATAAATGGATCGAAACGTCTAGTCAAAGCAAGAGGCATGCAGTGAGCACAATCATTAATCGAGGCGGGTTGTGGGCAGGGCAGCCGGATGGCTCGTACCAGTTTCTTTTGAGTACATAGCTCCGGATTTTGGATTCGGGTAGCGATTGCCTCTGCTGTAACCAGTAGACGGAATCGGACCGTTCGCGTGTAGTGCCCGGGTATTCGGTAGATGGGCTGTAATGTCTCTCGCGCGTTAATCTGGTGATTCGATACAATCAGGTGCGACAGTACCGCACTTGCTATCGTCCTTCTTATACCACTGTTGAGCCAAGCAGGGTAATGTTCCCGAACTGTTTCGGACAGACACCTGGTAGTTTTCCCAATATATCTTGCTCGACGAGAACAAGAGAAGTTGTACACACTCGAAACTGTTCTTTCAAATAACTATTGGCGCGAATATTTTGCAGTTGGTTCAGGCTCACTCAAACAGCGTACTGGGGTTAAGAGAGGGATGTACTCGGTTCATGATTCAGGTTTCTACGTCCAGATCACATTTGAATGAAAGTGCGTCTCCGGTGCCGCACACCATCGAAGAGTGCACACAAATTTATTACCTGCTCACGTGGACGATGAAGCAAGCATAACGCCTGAATGCACTCAAGTAGATACAACGTATCAAATAAATGGGAACTTTCTGGTACTAGATACATGAGGCGAATTTGGGCACGAAATTTTACCATTCCAGAGTAGAGTTCGTTGATTCACAGAGTAAAACTGGTAGAGTGCAAACTACGCAAAAATGCCTGCCTAACCTAAGAGCAAGCTGCAACAAACCGGATTCCATGACACGGGGCATTCTTGATTCGAATCAGGGAACATCAGGTGAAAAATGATGAGGACTAGTTTAAGATATGGCCCCAAGGTAATGGACGGAATAAATCAAACATTTGCACCATTGCTCCGTCTCGTGAGGTGTTAAGAAATCAAGGAAGAAGCGACGAGCAACATTTGAAGATGTGGCGACTGAAAATCGTCTGGTTCACAACTCTCACCGTACTATCGTCAAACGATTTTCGTACATAAATATTGTGATTGACTACCAGGGGTTTCGCAGTCATCTGATGGGACATGACAAACCAAAGGTCAGAAGTTCCACCTGTTTACAACCATTTGTCAAGAATGATGTGATAGTGTAATTTGAATGATAGGAGACGAAAACAATCAGCTCCATAATGAGTGCCGGCAAACTCCGTTCCATTTGGACGACCCGAAAGCTGCCGACGACGTAGTCAAGCCCGCTAATTAAACGGTCTTCGCCACGATCGTTTCGTCTGTAGCCGGAGAAGCAGTTACATTGGGATAACATCAATACCCAAGTAAGTGAACCAAAGTACAGTGCTGCGATGGCGGCACGATAGACGATGAGAAAAACAATGACGAACAAACTGTCAGACGCGCCAATGGCTGTACGCATAGCCTTTAGGCTGAGCGACCTGGTAATCGCGGTTACCAATCGCAATTGGAACGCCAAAGCCGGTGATTCGTAATCGGTAACGTTTTACTCTGTGCATACAGGATCAGCCAACACTTATACTAAAGTTTCATTACGATAACAGCTAAGATGCTTCTCACGGCTAAATGACCAAAGATGAATAGAACCTCTGGGTGCTCCACTTTGAATAAAAACCTTACTGATCTCGCATGAACTACTTGCTACTGGCGTGCAAGAGACCAGGTCGCACAAAAAGGCATTATAACGCAGGATTGGTCTTCCTATTATCCTGTTCAATTCTTTACATGGTTTATTTTGATTTGAGAAAAAAAACTAACACAGTTCATCCAACGCAAACTCTTGCCACGCGGTGCTGGTTGTGTCCTCGAATACAAATAAAGCACCTTTCGTATGGGTCGCATATCCTTTGCGCAGTATCACAGGTATACGTCTAGAAATCATTGCAAATTAAACGTAACCATCATCTAGCTCTGGGCGCTTGCACTGAGAATGTGCCTTCCAGTTTGGTTTAATTAATATTGAGAAAACAATAGCGCAATATAAATGCGTACCGGCTTCTGGGTACTTTTTCTGCCATTTTTTCCCGCTTGTCGCAGCGACGAAAGCACTAACATCAACGCAAGCTCGGCAAAATTTTTCGCTTTTGGGATTATACTCATCATCCGGATCGTCTTCAACTGAGAAACGCTCAGAATGCCGTTGGCTCATCTGAAAAGATGGTAAAAGGAGACGAATAACAATCCTCTGGGGATATGCAACACTTTCCATAAACAAATAAACAGCATAATAAAGGCGGAAAAAATAGACAACTTCCCGGAGAAAACAGTGAAAACAATGGGAATAAGTGATGGTTCTAGTGATCGGATGTAACCTAGAGACGGAAAGGAGAACAACTGCAAAGAGGATGCACGGGTTGGGCGTGTTGTGGAAGATGAACGCATATGACAATTCAAGCAGGTGTACTACATCAAACGTTCTTCATCGCTAAAATATCGGGAAGAAACCTAGCACAGAACGGTGTAGTAACTATTTTCGATATGAGGTACATAAAAAGATCCCAGTCATAAGCCCAAATTGTAGGCTTGAAAAGCTGTATCGCCATGTAACATTCATAACCTGCCAGGTATAACAAGAACCAAGATTCCCTCTCTAAGAATGGGTGGCCAGTGAGTAGTAGCTGACGTCTCAATCAAGCCGACGATGATCCCTATTCGTTCAGTTGTTTTCTTTCCTTCTCAACCGCCCTTGCCCGCATATACTGAGCAATTGAGTGACACTGACATCATGGCTGCTACCATGGATACATGAAGTTCGTCCATCAAATCTGGAGTCTCATTTCAGATTGGTTCTTATAAACATACAAGAAGCACTAAGTTTCACACCGCACCCCTTGGTATTGATGTTTGGTGCATTTCCGAAACACGCTGTTACCAACTACCTCTGTCTGTACGATCCCGGTTGAACTGAATTCGCTATCTGCTAGCTCCGAATCTCAGCCGAGAAACAGAAGGCAAAGCTTGTAGGCAAAAGCATATCACAGAACTAGCTACCGAAACAGGTAAATGTAGTGTAAAAAGCAGTGGATATTTATTGGCCAAACCAGAAATGTTCGCGTTCAGAACATCTAGGTCAACTGCCCTGATTGGTAGTTCAGTTCCGCTATCTAATTGGTAGGTTGGTGCGCACGTCGTATGGATCAGAGCAGAAAGAAGACACAGATTGCGATATGTCAATATTTCGATGGTTCTCCTTGGTCGCATACACAATACAAGCAGAAACACATACACAAATATATACATGGAAAAAATTGGCACACCACTTAAAACGTCAAAATCAAGACCAAGGCAACGTGATTGGTGGCCTCAAGATTCTATAGCGGAGGTTGATATGCCCTAATTAGCAACATTATGGAGTTCCGGTTGCGTAATATCACTTTGAACGCAGTCTGGGGGTCCACATTGTGACCAGCTGTCACAAAGTGCTTGGTGATAGATGATGACGAAATCAGGTTAATTCGGGAGGCGTTATCATTTGCTGCACCCACTTTGACAAGTGTTCAGCCACCTTCTGAGCCAACCGGAGGTTGGTCCTGCCTATGTAAACGTGACAGCTGGGTGAGAAAGCTGATTGCCAACGCTCGCGCGTTTACCACCAATCGTGCTTGGGAAAGACCCTACGAGCGTGTTACCAGGGTCCAGTTGAAAGCTGATAAAATCGCGCATCAGCCAGCAGATGTGTTGCCAAGCCTGACCGGAAGCTGATGAAATCGCGCGTCAGACATCACGTGCTTTGCCATGCACCGGGTAGGCGGACGAAGACTGGAGTACCCGAGCAACACGGTGAACTGGACAGATGCAGCGGACAAGCATGTGTGGAGCGTGAGCTTACAGCCAAATCCGCCTGGTGATACCAACATATAAATATGAGCGTTCTCTGCCCTAATGGAACTCTGGTCTGCTGAGTATTCTTCTGTCTTCCTTCTGGTCGGGTTTGCCAAGGCATCAAACAGAGCAAGCGTGAGGGCGCAGATTTAACAACAGGCGTGAATCAACCGGTCGACCGCAGGCTCAGCGTTATAACAAAACGTCACTGCAACTGCAGTTGAACTGATAAACCACATGAGGCCGAACTAGCCGAAGAGTAGCTCTGACGGTCATGAAGAAGAACTTTCCGTGTTGTGTGCATGAGGCGCAACTGGGCAGTCGTGTACGTGCGCGTTACAGCGGACCTGAGCTTGTGTCCGATGTAGTTTGCCACATGGGCTCCCTTAAAGAGCAGGAACAGATAGACAGCATTTTTTCGCTGCCGTTAGCACCGGCAGTTTCCTTTTGGGGACTCTGTTGTACATTTGGATGAAGTTTTCAGGATAACAACAAAAAGTGGACCCCAAGACTGCGCTCAAAGTGCTATTACTTAACCGGAATCCCATAATCTTGGGAATCAGTGAAGCATTGCTAATTTGGGCATATCAACCGGTGCTATGTGCACAGAAACTCCTGAGGCAATCAATCAGACTGCCTTGGACTTGATTTTGACACTGCTTGGTGCGGCAATTTTTTCTCATGTAAATAATTGCATGTGTTTCTGCTTGCATTGTGTATGCGACTGAGGAGAACAACCGAAATGTTGACATATCGCAATCTGTGTCCTCTTTCTGCTTTGATGAAGTGGACCAAATGTTTTACATCGTATGGACTCGAATGTCCATGAAAGGACTTAATGTTTCAAATGTGCACCATTGGCTCAATCTGTTTTCCAAAAGAGTTAAGGAGTTTTTCTTGGAGATTTCACTCTCCCTGACATCTCTCTTCTTGAGATCGCGGCTACGGTTTAGCATGATAACCTTGCGTTGACTTGCAGTCTTGAATACGGTGTTCTCCCTCTTTCCGTTCATCGCATGGGTTGATAAGTCTTTGGAATTAGCTCTGTACTATCGGTTGTATCGTTCGATTGACTGTCACCTCTGTTTGGTTTCGGTAAGTTGAAATAATCCACAAGGAAGTCAAAAGACAGTTCGGTTGGCTTCCACGTCTCTTGCCGGCACACCATTTGACGTCGCTGATTTGCTTGGCGGACCCAGGTTTGCGATCCAATGATCACATCATAAATGACATTGCACTTATACATTTGATCTCACCTGTGGTCATTGCTGTGTGACCTATCTGGTAGTCGCGTGCCAGCACTGAATCTCCGAGTGAATCGTTGTTCCATTTATCAGTTCCTTTCGTCGTATGAGGACTCTCGAGTGGATCGAATGGCATGCGGAGCCTCCAGTACATCAGTGCTTATGCAGGAGACACTTCATTTGGTGTTTGAAGGTTTGGTATGAACCGATACAAGAAAAGGAATCTGTCGATCATTTCCTCTAAAAGTCGCATCCCTTACGATTTGACGAGTGCTCGCTTGAGCGTATGCACAAGCTATTCTGCGCGAAACGGTGGTGAACGAATGTGCTGGATGGTGCACTGTTTGCAGAACTCCGTGAAAGTTTCTGAAGTGAATTGCATGTCACTGTCAGTTACAAGTGTCTCTGGACAGTCGAATTTGCTGAAGATCTGGCGCAGCCTGAATATAGAAGCATTGACTGTAATACTATCCTTGAGAAACACTTCGGGTCATTTGCTATAGGAATCGACTATGATGAGGAAACTTCGGCCGTTGATCGGTCCAGCAAAGTCGACATAGATACGGCACCCCGGCTTCATGAGTTTTCGCCATGAATGCAGCTCCGCTTCTTGTGGCGCTTTTTGAACGTTGGCACACATTTGACAGCGTTTGGTCAGCACTGCTAGCTGTTTGCTCATGAAAGGCCAGTACGCATAGGTGCGGGCAAGCGCCTTCATCTGGTTGATCAAAGCATACCCGGCATGGAACTGCCGAAGTATGCGCCCTTGTAGAACCTTTGAGAATACCAACTATCCGAAAATAGTATGCAGTCGTCCAGAATGCAGAGTGAATGTCTCCTCTGGTAGTACTGCTGCAATTCGGCTGATGTACATGAACGTGGCCAACTGGTTTTGTGGAACTGCGACACCTAGAGTATTGGGTCCCGAAGCGTTTCTGTTCGTACAGCTTCTGAGGTAAATGGTAGGTCATGTAATGCGTCACTCACGAGAAACTTGACCTCTGGTTGGAGCTCGACTGAGGCTATGATCGTGTCTTCTTCATCTGGCGTAACATCGAATCCACCTAGCGGATGTCAACAATAGATTTGTAGCGATTCGCAAAATCATAGTTCACGAGAGTGAGTGCCCAGTGTTGGAGACGATGTACTGCAATGGTAAGTGTTAGGCATCGAGCGGCCTACTATGAGGAAAATCGCAGTCTAAAAGCCAAGTCGAGTTGGCGTCACAGATCCAGGCCGAATCATGTAATTTGCATGAAAAAACAGAATTTCACACAGATCAAAGTCAAATGCGCACAGAAACGGAACAAACTGACTTGTTCAGAAAGGTAAGTGGACAATTTCCCACAAGTAACTGTGGGTTTTGTATCAGAACAGTCCCGTTTACAAGCAAACTAGTGCTTTTTCCGTGTTGCAGAACATTTGTTACTATCGCTTGTTTCACACCACTCACACGTCCCTTACTTCTTGAGACCTATAAAATCAAACGAGCACACAACTGTGATTCGAAATATATCGGCGTTTTTCCTCCCCCATCGGCCTGTTCTGCGTTCGACAATATACTACTCGTCCGGTGGGTTGTCTTTCGAATCGCGAGGCGCAAAATGGGAGCTGCTAAGTCGAAACGCTAAGGAGATAACAGTAGGAAGGCCTTTCTTCGAGTCAAAGATAGCCAGCAACGGTTTGTGATAAACGCGGCCATACAGTATTTTGTGGTATTTCTTCACCTCGAAGACTATGATCAATGACTCCTCGATTTGGCTATAATTCCTTGCGGCTTTTGTCAATCTTCTTGCTGCGTACCTAATCGCTTTCGGGAGCCGTATCGGTATATATGTGATACCGCTGCACCAATCCCATGGATTGATGCGTCAGTTGCGAGAATGATTTGCTGAGTTGGGTCGCAATAAGTCAACAACAGGTCCGTGGTCAATAATGACTTGAGTCGTTCGAATGCACTCTGGCACTTATGAGTCCAAGTCCAGGCGTGGTCTTTGGCCAGCAGCTTGTTCAGCGGGGCACGCAGGCGATGCATCTTACGCAAAAATGCGCTGCACTGACTAATGTGACCATGAAAGTAACGC